TTGTTGGACAAGTGGAGCGAGCTAAAGGTTTGTTGGATTTGATCCATACAGATGTTTGTGGACCACTAAACGTTAGTGCAATGGGGAACTATCACTATTTCATAACCTTCACTGATGATTATTCACGGTATGGTTATGTTTACCTATTGAGGTACAAATCTGAAGTATTTGAAAAGTTCAAAGAATTCAGAAATGAAGTGGAGAAACAAATTGGTAGAAATATTAAAGTTCTTCGATCAGATCGAGGAGGTGAATATTTGACTAATGAGTTTCTTGATTATTTAAAAGATAATGGGATTGTCTCACAGTGGACGCCTCCTGGAACTCCACAACTCAATGGGGTTTCAGAAAGGAGGAATCGAACATTGTTGGACATGGTTCGATCGATGATGAGTACCACTGATCTACCTCTTTCATTCTGGGGCTATGCCTTAGAAACAGCAGCATATATTTTGAATAGAGTGCCAAGTAAAGCTGTACCCAGCACACCTTATGAGATATGGTGTGGTAAATCACCCTCATACAAATATTTACGAGTATGGGGTTGTACTGCTTATGTAAAGCAGTTAGTGGGAGGTAAGTTGGATATGAGATCCATCTTATGTAAATTTGTGGGGTATCCTAGAGAGTCTATTGGATACTATTTCTATGATCCCTCTGAACAAAAGGTGTTTGTTTCGAGGAATGCTGTATTCTTAGAGAAAGATTTTATCTCAAAGAATAGCGGAGTCATAGAACTTAATGAAGAACAACCACAAATTCCACTAAGTACCACGGAAAACATACCAGTAGAGACTGGACCATCTAAAACACAACCTCTTCGGAGATCCGAAAGGGTTTCTAGGGCGCCTGAAAGGCTATACCTATTGTCAAAAGACAATGAAGAGGGATTCCTTTTGGATAATGATCCAATAAGCTATGATGAGGCAATGTTGGACATTGACTCAGATAAATGGCAAGAAGCTATGCAATCCGAAATAGATTCCATGTATTCAAACAAAGTATGGACTTTGGTTGATCCACCACAGGGTATTGTACCCATAGGTTGTAAATGGGTTTACAAGCGAAAACGTGGTGTAGATGGAGAAGTAAATACTTTTAAAGCAAGACTGGTTGCTAAAGGTTATACTCAAAAACAAGGTGTTGATTATGAGGAAACTTTTTCACCAGTAGCAATGCTTAAATCTATTCGGATATTGCTAGCCATAGCTGCGTATTATGACTACGAGATATGGCAAATGGATGTGAAAACTGCTTTTCTTAATGGAAATATTAAGGAAGACATTTATATGAAACAACCGCAAGGTTTCATATCCAATGGGAGTGAACAAATGGTTTGTAAACTTCAAAGGTCTATTTATGGACTTAAACAAGCTTCGAGGAGTTGGAATATTCGGTTTGATGAAACGATCAAAACGTTTGATTTTCATAAGAATCCGGATGAACCATGTGTTTATAAGAAGGTTAGTGGGAGTGCAGTTACATTTGTTGTTCTATATGTTGATGACATCCTACTCATTGGGAATGATGTAGGGATGTTGCAGTCAACTAGGACATGGTTGTCAAAACAGTTTTCCATGAAAGACTTGGGAGAAGCATCCTTTATCCTAGGGATAAAAATCTATAGGGATAGATTTAAACGGATGATCGGACTATCCCAGTCGACGTACATAAATAAGGTGCTACAACGGTTTAGCATGGAAGAATCCAAACGAGGATATATTCCAATGAGTCATGGGATTTCTCTTTCTAAGACGATGTCTCCAAAGACACCTGAAGAAAGAGAACGGATGAGTCATATACCTTATGCATCAGCTATTGGTAGCATTATGTATGCAATGTTATGTACAAGACCTGATGTGGCTTATGCACTTAGTGTAACGAGCAGATATCAGTCTAATCCAGGTGAAGAACACTGGAAAGCCGTTAAGATGATTCTTAAGTACTTACGAAGGACTAAGGATATCTTTATGGTATACGGCAATGGAGAACTGAAACTAGAAGGCTTTACTGATTCTGGTTTTCAGTCCGATAAAGACGACTATAAATCCATGTCTGGATACTTATTTACTCTGAATGGAGCAGCAGTTAGTTGGAAAAGTTCCAAACAAGAAACAATTGCTGACTCTACGACAGAGGCTGAATATATTGCTGCATCTGATGCTGCAAAAGAAGCTGTTTGGATAAGGAACTTTATCCAAGGGTTGGGTGTAGTACCATCCGTTGTTGATCCAATAATGATTTATTGTGATAACAATGGGGCTATTGCGCAAGCAAAGGAGCCAAGATCTCATCAAAAATCCAAACACATTATGAGGCGATACCATTTGATTAGAGAAATCATTGGTAGAGGCGATGTCGTGATGGAGCGAGTCGACTCAGCAGAAAATATAGCAGACCCCTTAACTAAACCCTTATCACAGAAAGTGTTCGAAGGACATCTTGAGAAGATGGGTCTTAGATACATGAGTGATTGGAACTAGGGCAAGTGGGAGATTGTTAGAGTAGGGTACCCGGCGTTCCAATCTAATTGGACGTATTCTACTTGTAAATACAGTCTATTGGAATTATATTATGAATAAGGCATTTCTTTATCTTAAGAGAAAGCATTTATCTTATAATTGCACTTAAGATAAAATCCCTAGATCACTTATGGTTATAAGGTATGGTTGCGCATAGAGATGGTGATCATGGAACATACCTTGAAAGCCGTGATCTTAAATACAGTTCCAAGTCGATGGATGTTTCGAGATGGGATATCGAATAATCCATAAAAGACTTGCACATAGTTTGTATGCTTGTTGGACAAGAATGTTGCATTCCATCAACATTAGCGTAAGACGTAAGTACATTTATGTGGGTGCTTGTTAGAGAACAAGTTCACTGAACATGACCGTATGAAAATTCTTAATGAAGAATTTATTCAGTCGAATAAGAATTTTCATGTTACAATAGTACATGACTAATCCTAAGACTTGAGGCACAATGGTAACTTTGTGCATATTACATTCTACTTTGATTTATCCTTTTGGTAGCTAGCACTATCGTTTAAAGGGATAAGTTGGGTATTATGTTAATATGTATGGAAGTTTGTTAGTGGCCAATAAAGGATTCGACACTTATGAAGATAAGTGAATTTCCTATGTGTTTCATAGTTATTAATCCAAAGTCCTTGGCCAAGGCAGAGATGAATAGTGATTCATAACAGGGTTAATAAACTTGAAATAGAATCATAGTTATTAAGTCAATTTGGGTTTCGACAAAATCATACCCAAGACTTAATCGGGAAATTAGATGTCGAAAGGATTTTACATGTATGGAGTTGTAATCGGAATAGGTTTACTCGCTATTCACTTAATACTAGATTCATGCTACTTGCTAGGTGTTCCCATGATATGTGGGTTCTTGAATTAAAGGGTTAATTCATGAATAAGAGTTAATGTGATTAACTCAAATTACAAAGAGTTGTAAACCCACTACTAGTATTAAGGTGAACCTAAAAGGTCACACCTATTATGAACAAAGGTGAAAATTGTATTTCTAAAGAGTTAGAATTAATTGACATAATCTAATTTGATTAGATGTCAATTAAAAGGAATATATTAATCAATAAGATTGATTAATTACATTTTGGATATTACTTTAGTAATTAAGGTAATTACTAAATTAATATGTTGGAATTTAAAATTGGATTTTAAATTTCCAAACCAAAATAATAATAATATGATTATTATATTATGGATGAAAATTGGGAAAATGAATATAATAATAAAGTCTTGAAAAGATTCTCAAGATTTATTATTCTATTATCTTTAAATATGATTTAAGGATTAAAATAATAAATATGATTATAATAAAATGGTGGTTAAAGGTGGTTTGAACTACTTAACATTATTTATTATATTCAAAGTCAATAGTTAGTAAATATTATTTAAATAAAATCTGATTTTATTTAAATATTACTAAATGTTGATTATTTTATGCTAAAATGTTTAGTATAAATAGATGCAAAATGGTTTTGCATTTAAGGTGAATTCATTCCTAAAATTTCTAAGTGTTAGAAAGAAGAAGAGTTCTTCATAAACATCAAGAAAGAGTTCTTGAAAATTCCCAAATAAAATTTATACATATTCCTATACAAGAAAACCGAGTCATTCCTACTAGCGAAGGAATGTAGTCGGAACCGGGTTTCATAGGGTGGATACGTTTAGAGGGAAGACACTTGGATTCCTAAAGTGAGTAACCTCAATCCGTTGAAGTTATCAAACCGGGAACCGATTCCCACAATCCACATCGTCGTTGAAGGAGTTCAAGACATTCGGTAAATACTTTGTATTTGTATTTATTTTATATAACAAATCAGAATTTGTATGTGATGCATGTTTTAAAGATGACGATCAGTTAATTCGCAATTAGTATGTACGGGTGTTGTATTTATACGATAAATAATTACTTTAAAAAATTTTAAATTCCGCTGCTTAAAGCCCGTACGGTACTAGCGAACCCAACAGAATACACCTACATTTATAAATAAAATTAAATGAAATTATCCAACCAATCAAATTTAAACTATTACTTATTAATTAAATAAATTTATTTATCAACTATTATACGATATGAGTTTGGAAAATATTGAACGACCGAGTCATATATGAGTATCATTTTTAAATAAAATTAAAAATAATTCTTTAAACTTATCAAAAAATTACAAAAAATAACTCATACATTCTTCATTTTTTACAAATATAAAATTTGTAACTAACATTAGTATAATACAAGTTACTGTTCTACCACTACTAAAAATGTTATTGCAAACTTTCACTACATAAATTACTGTATTCAAAATTTGCATTATCTTTTTTTCCGGTTTTGTTATGAAGCCGACAGTTGGATGGTAGGTTTATTTATTGTATATAGAAGGTTGACTCCACTATGAAGCCAACTGTTGGCTTCATAGTAAAACCGTCTTCTCTAATATTAAATTACTATGTATGACAAGCAATAACTCCAAATTATTTGCATCATCTGTCACAATTTCGCAATTATTAATTTTTTCCAAATTTGATAATTTTTCCCGTAAATTATCTCCCTACTGTAAACGTGCCCCACCTTTTTTCATACGCCGGCACACAGCCAATTATTAAACAGTAGAGAAAAAAAAGGGATTTTAATATTCGCATTTGAGTTTCTCTCTCCACGCTATTTTTTTGTTTTTTCTTTTGTGTGTGGACGCAGTCGCCGGAACTCTGTTTCTTCTTCTTGTTCTTCGTCTTCTTCCTCCCCGTGGATCTAAGAAGAAAAAAAACATTAATCTGAATCTCATTTCTGTTAATTTACAAGTTTGTTCTCGAATTTTGTTTGCTTAACGCCGTTGGTGTTTTCCGATTCTGTTTTTTGTAGTGCGAAAAACTAGTCTCATTGTGTGGTGATTGCTGTTGAGTAGGAGCTTTTGTTCTGAATTTACTGGTGTGTGTGCGTGTGTGTGTTTGTGTATGAAATGAAGTAGTTTGTTAATTATCTGAGTTAGCTAGGTTTTGTAAGGGAGCAGGTTTTTGACCTGCTAGCATTAGTTTGGATATAGGCCCGGGCTCGAGGCTCGGGAATAGGAAGTATGCTTATGGAGAAGGGACTTCTGGCTCAGGATGTGGAATTGAACTGCGGTGGTGCTGCAGGCGGCAGCTACTTACAGAAATTCAGACTCTATGAAACTCGCTCGGTATATTTGTTTGATCTCGTTGGTTTTTTGCTTGTTTGCGCGTGGTTTGATGGCTTTGTCTTGTTTCGATCGTGTTTGATGTAAATTTGGCTTGCTTGATGCTGTTACTTTAGGTCCATTTATGATTTAACTCGTATGGATTTGAATTCACGAATCGGAAAGAGTAGATTTCAATCTCATGAAGTGTGGGTAATGCTCGCAGATGAAATGTAATTACAACAAAAGTTAATTTATTCTCAGTAGTTCTACTTTGTCTTGTTTGTCACTCTTCTCTGCTTTTACCTTTTATGTAAATTGGTGGTGAGTGGTGACAAGGATGGAGGAAAGGTGATTTAAGACCCTTTTTCGTATCATTAATTTGTTAATTCGTGTGGCTTTAATTCGTGTGGCTTTAAGTCGGAAACGTTCAAGCTGTATAAAAGAATCGTCAGTGAAGTAATTAAGAAGATACGATAAATGTATTATGTTGATTTAGGTTGGACTAGTTGGGTGTAGGGACGTGGTAGTGGCAGAGGTATCTAGAAACTATTTTGATACGTTGAGAACCCACAAAAGTACAGACTGTACACACATTTGTGCATCTAAAAGTTTCGTCATGTGCATTGAATGTTTCCTAAAACGCCATGTTCGTATCTAACTGGATTGAGTGTGTTGCATTAACTGCACTTTAGATTCTTAAATAGCCACCTTGTCAATGTTTGTCCGTGCCAGATGTACCGGGCAATTCCGAAAAATTGATAAAATCTAATAGTGAAAATCGTTAATTGACACGTGACGGATACAGCTCGCTTGATTCATTGTACATCAGTAAAACCCTATAGATTTTTCCTGCCTCTGATTTTCACTATCCGTCAATGGCTATTAGAAGAAGATTATATACTATTCTAGGTTTGGTTGTGTTAAACGACAATTTGCTTTTATGCAGAAAGATCTTTAGAATACCTCTCATGGATATGTGTTTTCGTTGCGTCCAATACTGCTCGTTACGAGTTTTCATTGCGTCCTCCTCTCAACCGCTCTGCACTTTTATGATTCTTTCTTATTCCTCATATTTCTTATTTCCTTAAAAAAGGCATAAAAAACTTGATGTCAATGCATTTTTTGTTCCTATTTTTATGATCATATTATTTATAAATTTCTTTTCTGCAGAACTTCTATATGATTGGACGAGACAAGAATAGAACATGTTGGAAGGTCTTGAAGATCAACAGATTAGAGCAGTCCGAGCTAAGTGTTATTGAAGATACTACAACATATTCAGAAATTGAATGCTACGACCTGCTGAAAAGAATTCATGAAGGAAACAAGTCTACTGGTGGATTGAAGTTTGTTACCGCTTGCTATGGAATCATTGGTGTGTTATATCTTTGCGATTACCTGCATCAGCTAATTAATGATGTTCAAAATAGTTTTTGCGCTTTATATTTCCCCTGACTTCCCTCTCTTTCTTTAATGTTGTGACCGCGCAGGATTCATAAAATTTTTGGGACCTTATTACATGTTGCTTATCACTAAAAGAAGAAAGATTGGCACAATATGTGGCCATGCAGTATATTCAATCGCCAAGAGCGAGATGATTCCTATACCAAATCCTTCTCTGCACACAAATGTGGCTTATTCTAAGAATGAGAACAGGTGTTTTGCCAATTCTGCATGTAATGTGAAGTGTTATAATGAGAGGACAGAACATAGATTAGATATGCTTTTTAGTTCTCTTGTATCTCATATCATTTGTCACAAATCAATTGTGCTCGAACTATTATTTATTTATTTATTTATTTTTTGGTTGTATCATTTTCGCTAATCCAGTTCGCTGGAGGTATCTTCTATAATTGTTGACAACACCCTTCAGCGAATGTCATTTATATGTAGTTATTGATTCTGTACATGTAAGAACTTGCCTGCAATAGTGAGGCAAAAGAAGATATACTTCGATCACAGTCTTTATTAAGGATGTTAATATCTTCGGTAGTTAATCTGTTCTTAGTGCCCGTGCCTTTATTTCCCAGCAATGGTGCAGGGGCAAACCACATTGGTGTTGTGATATTTATTTATGTTGAATGAGACAAGGTATCAGCAGTGTTTCAGGGGCATCTATTGCCTTTTGTTTTCATGTTATATGTTGCTGATTTTGTTTAACAGTTTTCGTTTGGACTTGCATTTACTTGTTGTTGCTCTCCCTTTTCTACTGTTGATAATTAGATACAAGAAGCTTCTACGCACAGTGGATCTTACCAAGGACTTCTATTTTAGCTACTCCTACCATGTTATGCATAGTCTTCAAAAGAATCTAAGCAATCACGAAACAGGATTAATCCTCTACGAGACCATGTTTGTCTGGAATGAGTTCTTAACTCGAGGGATTCGTAATCAGCTCAAGAATTCAATTTGGACCGTGGCATTGGTTTATGGATTCTTTAAACAGGTAATTACTAATAAAATCCGTCCATAGAGAGTATGTACCTTGCTAAGCAAGATTTTAGCATATAATTGCTTTTATCGTACACGTGGCTTCACATTGTATTTATATTTTTGTCCATAGTGAATGATATGATTTATATATACATACACACACACACACACACACACACACACACACATATATATATATATATATATATATATTTTGTCATAGGCATCTTATCATATTGCACATTTTTTTCTCTTGAAATGTTTTAGAAACTTCTTTCAGTGTGATTAGGGTGATCGATAATGCAAATATTTTTGGATTTTTAACAGGTTAAACTTTCAATATCCGGGCGTGACTTCAATCTAATTCTTATTGCCAGAAGATCTCGTCACTATGCAGGAACCAGGTATTAGAAAAAAATTATTTGTATCTGTTACAGATACTGTGATGGTAAATGTGTGTGTGAGGGATTTTTTTGTTGGCTGCTAAATTTAATTTTACTCCCCCTGCCCAATTAAATGCCTTAGTCATCACTACTTTCTTTTGTTCGAGTGCATTACATGAACATTGCACATCATGTGTATTTCTTTATAATGTGCAAAAATTGACTCTTGAAAGTCTATTCACCTATTAGAGCTACTGGAGTTGAAGACCTATATTTCTCTTTTTTATACTAACACATTTGCTTCTCGCGTGTTGCCCTTCAGATACTTAAAACGGGGGGTTAATGAGAAGGGTCGTGTTGCAAATGATGTTGAGACTGAACAAATTGTTCTTGAGGATGTAGCGGAAGGAAGTCCTATACAAATATCTTCTGTTGTACAGAACCGGGGTTCAATACCTCTCTTTTGGTCACAGGAGACATCGAAACTGAATATCAAACCTGACATCATATGTAAGGCTTGTAACAGAAATGCTTAATTATATGCTCTAGGTAGCAGTTCATACTTTCACCGACTTTATTAATTTCTGTGTCAGTATCAAGGAAGGACGAAAAGTATGAAGCCACCAAACTTCACTTCGACAATCTAGTCATGAGATATGGGAATCCGATTATCATATTAAATTTGATTAAGGTATAGTTTTGTATTGATTGATGGGCTGACACTGCCAACTTGTCATATTCTTCCTCAACATCACATTCTCTTGATGTTTAGTGTCCAATTTGTCCCTATTTAGTCTGTCACCTGTTCTTGATTGGCAGACACGTGAGAAGAAGCCAAGAGAATCTATTCTCCGTGCAGAGTTTGCTACGGCTATTGAAGTTATTAACAAAGACCTTGCACAGGGAAACCGCTTGAAGTTCCTTCACTGGGATTTGAGTAAATACTCTAGAAAGTATGGATGGCACTTTTCCGTTTTTTCTGTTTTCCCTGCTTTTCATTTTTAATTATGGTGACTTAAGTTTACTTGTGTTTGTTACAGCAAAGCAGCGAGTGTGTTGGCATATTTAGTCAAAGTAGCAGCCAATGCATTGGATTTAACTGGCTTCTTTTATTGTCATGTACTCCCGTCTTCAAGGTGAGGAATATGGAAAAGTTGATCATAAATGACTGACCGAACCTTTTCGCGATAGCTTGGTTCATAAAATAAGAAAATTAAGTATTTTCTATCATGCGCAGCACATAACTTTCATGTTTGCCCAAATTACGCTACCGATTTGATGGTCTCAAGGTTGTCAACTACTGTTTTGGCTTCTTGGGATTTGTTATAATATGTGCAAATTTTTTTTGTCTATTTCACTGAGAATTACCTCGTGTAGCATTAAAGTTGAGTCCCGTACTCCCGATTTATGCGCACATTTTATAAATTATCGTTCTTGTATGTAACCAACTTTAATTTGGTTTATGTACATCACGGACCGTTAGTTTCCTGCTGGAGCTTTATATATAAATAGCCGTATCATAAACCCTGGCGCAATTAAATGCTCTTACTATTTTTTTATTAGTTTCATACTATTTTCTAGAGCTTGGAATGCACAAATGTTGATCCTGTGATCAAGGGTACCACATGTGTTATTTTCTTGTCTTAGTTAATTACCTTTGTCACCTGTCAACTCTTACAGCCAACTCCCGTGCAGCAACAACTGCTATGGTGATTATTCTGATGAGGACCTTTCCAATGCGACTGAGGATATTTGCGAATTGACCGATAAAGATAAGATTAGTGACGTGGGTGGAAGCCATTTTGTCAAGCCTCCGGTGTTCCAGAAAGGGGTTCTGAGAACGAATTGCATAGACTGTTTGGACCGCACAAATGTGGCTCAATACGTTTATGGGCTGGTTGCTCTTGGCCATCAGTTGCATGCATTAGGATATATTGCTGTTCCAAAAATAAGCTTAGACTCTGCTTTGGCTGATGATCTGATGAAGACATATGAAGCTATGGGCGACACACTTGCTCTACAGTATGGTGGGTCTGCGGCCCATAACAAGGTACCCTTAGTCAGTTTTCGAAGAAGTGAAAGTGGGTGTGATTGGTCTTAAAAGATTTTTTTCCTTTCACAATGTCAGAAATTTAAGGATACCATTATATCCGAGTACATGACAATATGTATGCATTCAATATTACACTCTTTTACTTCCACATACAGCATAACTTGTCTCTCCTAACTCATCGTCTGCTTCAGTATATAATTATTATTTGATTTGTGCTTCCTGTTATTGTCTTCCCTTTACTCTTTCTTGCTCATTTGGTGTGTATATTAAACAGATATTTTCGGAGACAAGGGGTCAGTGGAAAGCAGCAACCCAGTCTCAGGAGTTATTTAGAACTCTTCAACGTTACTATAGTAATGCCTACATGGATGCTGAGAAACAAGACGCCATAAATGTGTAAGTCAACTGGACCTCTCAAAAATTCTATAAATAGATCTTTCATTAGAGTGCATCGAGTCCAATGTTTTTTATTTGGGAAAACATAATACGGTTCATTATCAATGAGCAGGTTTCTCGGACATTTCCAACCACAACAAGGGAAGCCTGCTCTGTGGGAGCTGGATTCTGATCAGCATTATGATGTTCGAAGCCGTGGTTCTGATTTTGCAGAAGAAAATGCTAGGTAACAGTGACATGTGCGCATATCATCATGTTAGAATAGCTTAGTTCTGACTAGAAAAATGAGTATCATCCCCGTAAATTGATGAGATATACTTAACGAACGAATGAAGACCATGAGAAAAAAATCTTTATAATATGCTTGCTTAGTGAAAGGTACACCGAGGCTTATTTATTTAATATCTGATGAGATTTTTTTTTTTTGAAATGCCATAAATATTGTGTGGTTTTGTTCTGCACTGCTGATTGGAGGTGGAAATCTGGATTTGCAGGTCAATAATTAAAAGGTCATTATCTGATGGCAATATTCTTTCTGAAGACAACTCGCCTATAGCCGATGCAAAGGTTATACAAATGGATAATTCTCATATAGCACTGCCTGTTACGATTAAAAGCTGTACTTTGGGGCTTTCGGATTCAACTCCAGAATTTTCAACTTGTGACAGTGATGCATCTTATTCCAGGTAAAGATTTAGTACCCCCTGTATTAAAATAGCTGTAAATTCTATAAACCACTTCCTGTGGTATGATAAGTTGGATACTTGATGAAGTATGAAGATTGTGCTAGACATAGTATTTCTCGAGTTAAGAAGTGCTTGCTAAATTATGAAGCTTGCAGGAAAATCGATCTAGCATTAGGCTTTCCAGCATAATCTTCATCTCTTTTACACATGTTCAATTGTTCACTTCTAGGAGAAGAGTGAGCCTTGTTATGCTGTCTTCACCGGGCATTACTTATGATAATTTTCATTATGTGATTTTACTCTCATATTGGTTGCTCTTTCTTTAGGTACACAGCCTCAATGTCACGCACACGGCTTTTCCATGATCCACAGCCAGAGAGGTATCTTCAAAACGATAGCACGTATTATGTTGAACGTGGTGATTCATCCAACTGTTCAAATTTTCTCGATGTTGATTGGATTTCATCATCTGGGAATTCTTGCGAAGATGAAACATACGAAAGGTAAATGTTTTTGTTTGTTACCTGTGCTCGTTACTAGGGCTGCTCATTCGGTCGAATCGAAACAGAACACAAATTTTCGGTTAACCGAAAATTCGGTGTATCCATTATAAGAATTGAAAACCGAACCGAAAATTATGGTTCGGTTTGGTTTTTAACCGAAAATCCAGCGCTCAGTTCAGTTCGGTTAATCGCAATAAATGATTAATCTTCTCAATAAATTATGAATTTTTAACCGAACCAAAAAATTGATTTTTTATCCCAACCAAAAAGTTTATTTTTTATCCTCAATAAATTTCAAATTTTCCTCTAATGAAGATCTCGGTCCTGAACCATGACTTGGACTATGACGAAGCCAATCTTGAGTGCAAATTAATGCATAAGCAATTTTAGAGGTCATTGAAACTCGAAAAGCAAATTAATGTTTTTATAACTTATATGTATATAATATACATATATATATATATATATTTATATATAAATGGATTTTTGGTTCGGTGTGGTTAACCGATCGCTATTATCCAAACCGATTCGAAACCAAAATTTTAAAAGAATGTAAACCGAAAAACGAACCAAATATTCGGTTTCAGTTTTGGTCATAACTTAATTTTCGGTTTCGCTCGGTTCGCCTCGGTTAATTGAATTTTGTGCACTCCTACTCGTTACATGTATCTTTACCATAATATTTTAAAGCCTTCCATCTAATCATGCCACTAAGTTTTCTCAAGCAAATCGTTCTTAAATTTAAAAAAATCTCAGTACCTACTGCTTAAGATGTTATTTAATCAACATTTACCGAGCTATTTGTGGAACTGCGCCAGCTATTTGGATGGACTCTTGTTTTTGGGATTCATTTTCTTATTCTTTTCTTTTGTGGTTTTAGATCATTGCTTATTGGGTCTCCATCGGTTGGCATGTCTTCCGGAGAGATAAAACTTGAAACGAACTCATCTTATCAATCTGGATCCAGCTTGAAGGTATCATTTTCTCCTCTTTTCTTTCGTTTTCCTTTTTTCCAAAAATTCAAAACTGGTGTTTTGGGAAGTTCTGATATTTGCTTAACTAGTTGAACACTTGAACTTTTTTGTTGTAATAATCCACAAATGTCATTTCTTTCATAATTATTCTTTAATCGTCTTCTTTTTTTTTTTTTTTTCNGTGGCGAACTCAGCTGTTGTGGTGCCGCCAGTAGCTCGAACGACCTTTTGGGTTTTTCGGAAAGATTCGTGCATTGGGTTCATGGAGACGTGCTTTTCCCTTGATGTTTACTTGAAGTCGACACACTATAAGTCTATAAGCTAATCGAATACAATCGCTCATGCCATATTTTAACTGACAAGCCGGCCCATAAGGATGCTGATGATTAACCCGAAAATAAATGGCAAAAACGGATGATATTTGGAGAAGAAAGTTTGTCAAGAATTTTTCTGCAGAGGATAGATACTTATCAAATGAAAAAAGGATTTTATTTGTTATCTTTTCTCAGATTGTACATTTGCAGAAATCTGAGAGAACTAATAGCTATAACTATATTTTCCTTTTCCCCTCTTGGTCCAATTGATCCATTGTCCAGGTTAACAACTTCTGCATTTTTTCGACCCTGTAAATATTCCATTAGGTACCTTTTTACTTGGGATTTTATCTTTTTGGTATCATGTAATATAATAAATAAGATAATAATTCATTATTGGTCATTTTTTTAGTTCCTTGTTATTTTTATTTTACTTTTCTGTTTCCATAAAACCATTTTTATTTTTTTTGCAACCTCAACATTCTTCAACCAAAATGAAACGCTTCTTCTGTTCACAACACAAACATTAATGTGCCAAAAAATCGTGTTGAGCTAAATTCATAAGCATAATTACCTGAAAAGGCAACAAGCTAAATTACAAAACTAATATGTCATTGGAGCCAAAATGAAGTTTGATTCAACTTCATATTAGGAAAGATTGAAAGAAAAATAAAAAATACACACAGAAACGTCATGCGAGTCTAGAACTATGAACCAAAACAAGTCGTATGTGTCTTGATTCGACTCGTTAAAACTCGAAAATATAATTTTTTATGCAATTTTTTTATAGATGTGCTAGTTAATACTCACTCGAGTTCGTCTCGTCAAAGTCTGATCTTTGAATTATTGATATTGATAAAAGAGATGAATAGGTTTGGCTATAACTCATATCCCAATACTAGCTCAACGGAAAAGAGTATCCAACCAACACTTATAAACAACAACCGTCCGGTAACTAATTGATGTGAGAAAAGTATGTGTATCGTATTTTAACTACTAATAAAAATATGTATATTTATGAGAAAAGTATACTGACCTTACGAAAGATCTATCATTTTCATACTTATTTGGTCACACATAGAGTAGGGGAATGCCCTAAGGGAACTGGTGGATTCAATTAATTAACGAAGTACTAAGATTTTCTACAATTAATGTATTATGATAATTCGTTATGGTCATTTTTTTTAGTTCCTTGTTATTTTTTATTTTACTTTTTTTTTTGATAAAACCATTTCTTTTTTTTTTTGGCGTTTTGGTAGACAGACCGAAATTTCATGAATTATATGAATTTGCAATGGTTTTTGATAAAACCATTTCTCTTTTTATTTTTTTTTTATTTTTTGGCGTTTTGGTAGACAGACCGAAATTTCATGAATTATATGAATTTGCAACCTCAACATTCTTCAACCAAAATGAAACGCTTCTTCTATCCACAATACACAAATTAATGTGACAAAAAATCATTTTTAGCTAAATTCGTAAGCACAACTCAAGAGATATCCTATGACAACAACCTAAATAATTAGAACACTAATCTGTCAAAGGAGCCAAAATGAAGTTGGATTGAACTTCATATTGGGAAAGATTGAAAGGAAACACACGGACACACACATAAGGAAATGCCATGCAAGTCTAGAGTTGGTAACCGAAACAAGCCGCTCGTGGGCTTGACAAGCCGTTAAGGCTCGAAAATATGAATTTTTATGTAATTTTTTATAAATCTGCTAGTTAATACTCGAGTTCGTCTCGTTTAAGTTCGATCTTGAATTGTACACAAAACGAATTCCATGCATATTCAATACAAAAAGTGACATTACGACACAATTTTATTATTTCAATTTTCACCTCACTTGATCCAATATCAGAACTTTATTCACCACACAACATGCACTTATTATTCCACACCAAAAACTAGTAATAATTCATACCATCCGTTATTAAGAGACAAGCACATTTTTTATTTTATTTTATTTTATTTCTTTAATATATTAATTTTTCAACGGGCAAGGTAGATAGGCGTGCCCGGGATGTAATCCACGACCTGACCAGAGGTTGACTTGATCGGGATTATGGGGAACTGGATAACGCCACCTGGCGGATTGAACGTGCACGAGCCATCCGGCAGCATGACTTCAATGAAGCAGTCCTCCAAGGACCGGCCCAAATTAAACGAGTAGAGGCCTCGGTTATCCGTGGTGGCACTTTTGACGACCCTTGGTTGAAAAAAGTCGTTGCATAAAACCTCGACTTTTGCACGCGGGATGACACGGAACCTGGGAACCTCAGATAGGGAGGCGTTTTGGCAGTAGATGACGCCAGCAAGGGTAGGAAGGGAATATTGGGCCGAGGATAGCCGAGCGAGTGATAGTAAAATCGAGAATATGGATGTCATGAGAATAAGGAGAAGGGTTTTTGAGTTCGTC